GATACTCTCTAATTTACCTGACACTTTAGGACCAGATTCCTGTCAAAATCCAGGATTTTAATTTATTGCGATTATGAACAATGCTGCAATGACTTACCTCATACATCTGTCATTTGTCTTGTCAAAAGACCAAACGACAGCAATTTACTTGAAGGATCTTCATTCATTTTATTTGTGATTCCATAAAATAGAATAAGTTTTGTGAAGAACTGGATAGAAGATGTTCGTTTTATAGACAAAGAAGGGATGAAGAAAGGAGAATCAAAGAGCAAAAAAGCGAATTGGTCATTTTAAAGTTACTTTCCTTGCAAGGCAGGACAGGGAAATGGGACAATAAAAAAATAACTACTCCGCCAACATCAGGCTGTTACAAGCTACTGCTGGTGAGAAGGATTAGGGCAGAGAGAACTTCATCCTCACGCCAATTGCAAGTGGCTTTATGGGAAATTTGGCTCTCCACTCTCCTGATTTCTGGGAAGGTCAGATAAACAACTTAGTTTCAGTTTTGTCTTCGTGATTCAGAGCATTAGCATGAGTGGTTGCATTTTGATATTTATTCTGGTCTGTTGGAACCTAGAGCAGGAGCAGAGTCCAGAATAACGGTCTCCTGCAGTTTTTATTTAGCAATCTCATATTTGAAAAACCGTGGGATGAAAGTTCTAGAAGTGGTATTATTGGGTCAAAAAACATGGACAGGGTCTGCAGGTGGTGTGGTGGTGAAGACAACCGAATACTCATGGCTGACTGTGTAATTCGAGTCCTGGACCCGGTGGCTTGAAAACCACACCAGGTGGGTGTGTATGTGTACATGCCTGCCCCAAATTCCAAGAGAATGGAAGAGAAAGAATTGTGTGACCACCTCTCCAGTGGGTGATTTCTCACTTTCATGTTCTCTCTTTCTCTCTGTCTGTCTCTCTCCAATGAGCACACGCACCATATAGCACACACACACGTACATTTGTCACTTTGATTCCATGGTGTCAAATAGTCTCCATGGAGTTTGCACCAATTTATGCTATGTTCCAAAACGTAAATGCATTCCATTCCAAACAGAATCCCTAAGAGGTACTAGTTTTCAGCATCTTCACCAACACATTTAATTAACTTTGCCAATCTTCCAGGCAAAAAGATGGCCTATTAGTTAAAGATTATCCTTATGAGTGAAATTAAACCCCAATGCCCCAAATCAATTTGTATTTCTTTTTTTTCTGTGAATTGTTTATTTGTAGAACATTACTTTTGCATCCCCCCCCCTCACTCCAGTGCATTTGAAGAATAACACATGTATATTTTGGGAAAGGGGAGTGGGCACTGAAAGGTCAGAGGAGTCATCAGATTCTCTGGAGTACACTTCTGATATTAAAATAAGGAAAAGGGATTCAAAATCTTAAATTTGCCCAGGAACTTTAGAAATAATCTGGTTCCTAGGTGGGCCCCATAGCCTAGTGGTTAAGGGAATGGGATTCCACATGGCTGACTATGGTTTACATCTTGGCCCTGGTGGACTGAAAAACATGCTGGGTGTGTGCCCAAGATCCTGCAGGATGGAGAAATGGAGAAGAGATGGAAGAGACCATGCCCCATTGGAAGTTCTTTCTTCCTCTCCCTCTCTCTCTCTCTCCCTGTTTCTAGCTCTTGAGCAAGTGTGTACACCCTCTAGAAATAAAATAAATAAATAAAAATTAAAAAAAAGAAAAGAAAGAAAGAAAGAAAGGAAAAGAGAAAAGAAATAATATAGTTGACTTTTTTGGTTGTTGTTTAGTTTTTAACATCTTTATCTCCTCTCCTCCATTCCTATCGATAGCTGAATCCTGGAGGTGCTTCATTTCTGAGAACATTTCTAGCTGTTATAAAAACTGCAGTAGGGCCAGCTGGTGGTGTGGAGGTTAAGACAGCTGGATCTCATATGGCTGACTTCGCTGTTCAAGTCCTGGATCCAGCAGCTTGAAAAGCATTCTGGGTGCGCATGCATCTATGTCCAAAATCCTGAAAGCAGAGTGGAGAAGGGGCTGTGGCCTGGGCATTCCCTTCAGAGGGTTATTTCTCACTTCCCCTCTCTCTTTCTTTGTCTCTCGCTGGTGAGCACAAATGCTCTTTAGCAAAAACTAAAAGAAAACGGCAACAAAAAAACGGCAACAAAAAAAAATGCATACTCAAGTGTATTACACACCACTCATGTGTGATTTTGTGTGACAAAAAAAAAGTTTTCTCCTGTCATTTTTGCCTATACAGATCCACAATCCTGACATCGCAAACTGCTTTAAAAACGGAAAGTGTTTTTGTTAAGTTTGGCATCAAAACTTATTTAGTGACAAAATGGACTTAAACTGATGGGTAACTATTCAGAGTTTTTCATCTTACTATGATTACATAAATGTTTTTCCAAAGAATTATTTATCTCTTTTTAAAAAGGTGTTGCCCTAGACCCTGCAGGGGATGTTACATAACAGGCACTATCTCACTGTTCGGCCGCCCATAAAGCTGTAAATATGAACTAGCACTGGACTCTGAGGGTGTGAAATAAGGGCCTATAGACCTACCTGCTCGTGGATTTACGAACTCGTTACTTGAAACTGTTTTAACTTTCTGCAATGGCCTTTTTAAATTTGGGTCTATGTGTGTTTAATCACGCCGATTGTTCAAATAAGCCCTGAACGGCGAGTTGTGTAATAACATCATAATGTTCTATTCTAAATATTTGTAATGTTTATTCCAAGTTTGGTTCTTCTCTGACCTTTAGGTATACCTTAAAGAATATAAATTATTTAAAAACATGGGGGGCTAGTTACATAGCAGTAACGCACCTGGGCCCACGTGAGGAAGTCCTGGGCTGTTGCCCTGAGGCCTTCCTCTGCCTGCCGGGGGCTCCGTGACCTGGGCTGGCCGAGCCTGGGGGAGACCGCAGCGTTGGGACTCCATTGGGGTCAACTTTCTCTGTGTCATGGAAGGAATGAATAAACAAGCTCAAGGAACATATGGTTAATGACCCAACTTAGAAACTGGAATTTCAGACCACTCCTCTCTTAAGGATTATTTGGAGATCGGAAGGTGAGCTGTCCAAAAAGCCATTACACTTACAACTGTGTGTCTGGGAACATGAGAATTTTTTTTCCTATTGTATACGTGGAACAAACTCAGAATCTGTGTACTGTTAGGCCAGCCCTTGGCGTGGTGGTTAAGTGGGCCGGTTCCCACATGGCCAACTGCATGGCTCAAATCCTGGACCTGGTAGCTTGAGAAATATGCTGGGTGCATGTGTGCCCCCAAATCCTGAAAAGTGGGAGAGATGGAGGAGAAGGGTTTGTGGCATGACCATTCCTCATGGGGGATGCTTTCTCATCTCATCTCTCTATAAGAGCAAGTGCCCTCTTAAACAAACAAAAAAGGAAATCTATGGATTGCTATCCAGAACCCTGATTATAAATGTATGCATAAATGTAATTGTTCTGATTATCTTTTTTAAAAATAATTTTTAAATTTTATTTAATTAATTAATTTTAATATGGCCAGAGAGAGAGAGAAAGTGAGAAAGCAAATCACCAGGTCCGGGACTTGAACCATGGTCAGTCACGTGAGAGTGTCCAGTGCCTTAATCACTATGCCACCTGTTAGTCCCCAATTGTTCTCATTATCTTTGTAAGTAAATATTTTAAATATAATCGTGCTAAATATTTTTATATTAATTAAATTCCACTTCTGGCTCATTTTACACACTGGGATTTCTCATATAATTTCACTGTATTATTCGACTGCCCCCATGTTTTAAAAATGGAAAGGAAAATGTTAATTAAAAATTAATGACTGTTCTTTGCCATCTTTGGAGGATAGAAAAGTGTTCTTAAGTTGTTTTAAATAAAGAATGTACAGAAATGGTTTATTACCTGTTGATGATAACAAGTACAGTATCCTCAGCTGGACTGGTCTGAGAAGTATTTCATGTTGGGTAAATTCTCCTTACATGCCAAATGATATATAGTGATCGAATGTTTAAAAAAAGAGAGAATAAATAATAATAACAATCTGAAAGAAATGATGAAAAGCTACTTGATGATGATAATGTGGATAGTAATGTCTTTGTCTTGACTGATACGCATGGTAATCATGCTGGAAAAAGAAATGTAATACACTGTAAAAATGTATGTGATTAAATGTAATAGAAAAAATTATGATAATTAGGGAAGATATATGAAAGAATTCATACCATAAAATCACCTGGACTTTTCCAGTCCTGCATTGCAATCAGTAGAGATTGCCCAAGAGCAGCCACACGAGAGGATTATCTTGAGGAAGACTTTGAAGGAAGAAAAAGAGACTGATCTTTGCTAGCAGATGGGATATCACAGAGCACTTGGTATGCAGGGCTGAATTGAGAGGGTTTAGGTGTGACTAGTGTTTGCTTTTCAACAATTTGAGTAGTTGACATGTAAATATTTTCTCAAAAATATTTAAAACCATACTGTTTCTGTTGTTACAGAGCCATAAACCAAATTATACAAAGTTGTAAGAAATATTTTGAGCATTATCTTTAAAATGCAGTATTCTGAAATTTTGAAAGTTGCTTGTATTAACCATCAAGAAGAATGGAGTCTGAAAAAAAAAAAAAAAAGAAGAATGGAGTCTGAGCAAAAAAAATTTTTTTGAGAGGTTTTTGCTATAGGGTGCGTGCGCTTGCCAAAAAGACAGAGAGAGACAGAGAGACAGAAAGTGAGAAATCACCCCCTACGGGGGATGGCCACGCCGCAATCCCATCTCCTCCATTCTCCTCTCGGGATCTTGGGCACGCACGCACACACGCTTGGCGTGAGTTTAAGCCACCGGGTCCGGGACTCGAACCATGGTCGACTACATGGGAGTCCAGCGACATAGCCTTTATGCTAACTGCTGGTCCCTGAGCAAAAATGTTTTGATAAGTAAAGTAAATGTTTGTGGAAAAAAATGTAAAAATAAATAAATAAATGGGAAAAATGATAATAAGAATAAAAAAGGAATGTAAACAGGGCTGTAGAAAAAAGAATTTATTTTACGCAATGTCTTTCTGCATCAGTGATTTTAATGTGGATTCTTAGGGGTTATCAACAGAGGCTGGATCGTTTCTTCTCGTTTTCACACACAGCTCTCCGGATTCTGCCCTGCCAGGTCCCTGGCTCAGTCCTCCTCGTCCATCTCCTTCTTGATCCAGTCCACATAGTTGAGTAGTTTGGTGTAGAAGCCATAGCCCTTGCTGCACCCAATGCCCCAGGATACGATGCCCGTGGCCACCCAGTGATCGCTGTTGGGGTCCTTGACTGCAAACACACCCCCGCTGTCCCCCTGACAGGCGTCCTGCTTCATGGTCGGGCTCCCAGCACAGAACATGTTTTCGGAAAACACATCGGACCTCTTATTTTTTCGGAGCCAGCTCTCACACGCGTCTCGGTTAGCGACAGGCAGACGGACAAACCGGAGGTTATCGGCCAGCCTCTCCTTCATGATCCCAAAGCCGCTGACATAGCCCATGAGGCCTTTGTCGTAGAAGGTCTCATTGTCGGGGAGGCAAATGGGCATGAGGTTGGGGCCCAGGGTGACACTGTTTTCCAGCTCCAGCAGGGCGATGTCCCCCTCAAAGTTGTAGGACTCATCCTGGCGGTAGTCTGGGTGGATGCTGACCCTGCGGACAGGGTGGTTTCCCAGCTTCATGATCTCATCCACATTCGTGTGGCCCAGGAACACATCCACGGTGGCGTTGCTTTGTGCTTGGTACTCCTTGGGGTAGAGGGTGTGGGCCGCCGTGAGGATCCAGCGGTCGCCCAGCAGGGCGCCGCCCCCGCGCCCGTAGATGTTGGTGAACGCCTGCCAGGGGAAGTTGCCTAGCTGGGCGTCTCGCCCTGCGATGATGCGCTGAGTCTCTTCCACCGGGTGGACGGGCTTGCCACACACTGGAGAAGAGTGACAGGAAAGACGGGCCATGTCAGGGCCAGCTTCTGTCGCCCTCCACTCCTCCCTCTGGTCAGTGGCTCCCCTAATGTCCCCTCCTTCAGGCTCTTGGCCATTCTCTCTTTCTCTTCCTATTTCCACAGCCCCTTCTGTGGCCTGTTTTGGCCTCTTCCTCCTTTTCTTGTTATTTCTCCTTGGGGGTTCTCTTTGTTGTTTTTATTCCCATTTTCCCATCTGCTCTGTGAACTGCGGGCATGTCTGGTTCTCCGTCCCCACCCCCCTCCTCCTGGGGCATTTCCTCTCCTCAGTCCTCAGCTCTGCTGCAGCTCTAGGCTGTGTCTCTGTCCCACTTAGTCTCCTGCCTCAGTGCCAGGCTTCTTCTGAGCCCTGCCCTGTTTCCACTCACCTGGCAAGCACCGAGGGACCTTCTGTCCCTGCTGTTCGTTCTTCCAAATGCCCTGATCTGTGCAGGTGTACACCCCTGAGGGCAGAAGAGGCCATAGTCAGGTGAGGGGGCAGAGGCAAGCAGGCCAGGCTGCAAGGGCCCATGTGCACTGAGGGCGTTGTGCAGAGAAAGGGGAGACCAGGAGCCATCACGGGCAAGAGGCACCGCAAAGGGCTCAGAGGCCAAGGGACCCAGTACTGAGAGTGTTAAGAGGCTTCATATATTTTTGTTTACTGTTAAGTGAAAAAAATCATAATACTAACTATAATATACATCTGATGTGATCCCCGTCTGTGAAAATAAACACACAGACTGGAAGGAATACATCGCAATCTTATTTGTGATTGCATCTTGGTAATGGGATTGCGGATAACAACAGTTACGTTTCCTGATGGCTAACAATACTTGTTGCTAAGCACCTTATCTGTGTTATCTTAGTTAAACTTCACAGTGACACGTTCAGGTACGTGTCATTATCCTCGTTTTACAGATGCGGAAATTGAGCTTAAATAATTTGCACAGTCATACAACTTCTAAGTGCCAGAAGTAAGATGCAAGATGAGGGTCGTCTGACTCCAAAGCCCAGCTATTAACCTTATATAACCCAGACTTTTATTTTCTTTGTTCACATGACCCAAACCTAGAATATGTGACATTTCTTTTACTTTAAAAAAAGTTTTAAAGATACCCATAGATAAGTTTGGCAGTCACGTAGTAAAGCTAAATGCAAAAAATCACAGCATATCAGCCTGAGGGGAAAATGGTGGGGAAGTCTCACTGACAGCTGTGCTGGTGATGGTGATGGTGGTGGTGGTGATGGTGGTGATGGTGGTGGTGGTGGTGATGGTGATGACAGTGTTGGTGTGGTGTTGATGTGGCGTTGGTGACAGTAGTGGAGTGGTGGTGGTGGTGGTGATGACAGTGTTGGTGTGGTGTTGGTGTGGCGTTGGTGACAGTAGTGGTGTGGTGGTGGTGGTGATGGTGGTGATGTGGCGCTGGTGATAGTGGAATGGTGGTGGTGGTGATGACAGTGTTGGTGTGGTGGTGATGTGGCATTGGTGACAGTAGTGGTGTGGTGGTGGTGATGGTGGTGATGATAGTGTTGGTGTGGTGTTGATGTGGTGTTGGTGACAGTAGTGGAGTGATGGTGGTGATGGTGGTGATGACAGTGTTGGTGTGGTGGTGATGTGGCGTTGGTGACAGTAGTGGAGTGGTGGTGATGATGGTGATGGTGGTGATGATGGTGTTGGTGTGGTGGTGATGTGGTGTTGGTGACAGTAGTGGAGTGGTGGTGGTGATGGTGGTGATGAGTGCACTGAGGGCGTTGTGCAGAGAAAGGGGAGACCAGGAGCCATCACGGGCAAGAGGCACCGCAAAGGGCTCAGAGGCCAAGGGACCCAGTACTGAGAGTGTTAAGAGGCTTCATATATTTTTGTTTACTGTTAAGTGAAAAAAATCATAATACTAACTATAATATACATCTGATGTGATCCCCGTCTGTGAAAATAAACACACAGACTGGAAGGAATACATCGCAATCTTATTTGTGATTGCATCTTGGTAATGGGATTGCGGATAACAACAGTTACGTTTCCTGATGGCTAACAATACTTGTTGCTAAGCACCTTATCTGTGTTATCTTAGTTAAACTTCACAGTGACACGTTCAGGTACGTGTCATTATCCTCGTTTTACAGATGCGGAAATTGAGCTTAAATAATTTGCACAGTCATACAACTTCTAAGTGCCAGAAGTAAGATGCAAGATGAGGGTCGTCTGACTCCAAAGCCCAGCTATTAACCTTATATAACCCAGACTTTTATTTTCTTTGTTCACATGACCCAAACCTAGAATATGTGACATTTCTTTTACTTTAAAAAAAGTTTTAAAGATACCCATAGATAAGTTTGGCAGTCACGTAGTAAAGCTAAATGCAAAAAATCACAGCATATCAGCCTGAGGGGAAAATGGTGGGGAAGTCTCACTGACAGCTGTGCTGGTGATGGTGATGGTGGTGGTGGTGATGGTGGTGATGGTGGTGATGGTGGTGATGGTGATGACAGTGTTGGTGTGGTGGTGATGTGGTGTTGGTGACAGTAGTGGAGTGATGGTGATGGTGGTGATGACAGTGTTGGTGTGGTGGTGATGTGGCGTTGGTGACAGTAGTGGAGTAGTGATGGTGTTACTGGTGTTGGTGATGGTGCTGATGGTGATAATGGTGTCAGTAACGGTGGTGATCAAGCTGGTGTTGGTGTTGTTGGCGGTGATGATGGTGTTGCTGGTCATGGTGGTGGTGTTGATGGGAATGGTGAGAGGGAGTTGACTGTTTTTACGAGATTCAAGTGTTTCCTTTACATCAGCTCAGGTCCCTCCTGCTTGAGAACTACTGGAGTCCTTTTGGCACCATTATTTAGGGCCCTCAAGCCAGTGTCCTGAGCAGATACCTTAACGTCCATTCTCTAGAGATTCGTGTAGAAGAACTCACGGAGGATGTCCCGAGAAGATGCGATAGAGAAGACCGCCATTTGCGTTGGTCCCTACCTTGCTCGGACTCGTGGCCACCAGCTCTGGTCTGCATCTTATAATACGGCTCATTGCAGCGGTACTGGATACGGGCCTCGTAGGTGTTAACGCCCTTGGTGGTGATGTAATGGAAGGCCCCATTGGTCAGGCTTCGGGGCTGCCCACAGTCCTTGACTTGGAGAGAACACCGGGTCACGTGAGGGCTGAGAATGACTGTACTGGAACTCAGTGGGGGAAGCTGTCTGCCTACAGAATGGGCTGAGAACCTTAGAGATATGTGGCTGGTGGGGAGAATACGTGTAAGGGATGGGCGTCGGGTAGAGTGAAGTTCGGTTCTGGGGAGAGGCCACGCATCCCACCGACAGGAGGGATCACCGGTTCTTGCACTGGCCCACAGGCTTCCAAGGACAATCATGGGGAAGGCTCCTGGGGACAGGCTCAGTGAGGACCCTGCTCTTCTCTTCTCAGCCCAGATCCCCCAGGGCTGGCAGGTTTGAGGCCCCTGGGGGCTAGCATGTCCCTGAGTTGTGACTTACTCTTGCACCTGGGCATGGCGCGATGCCACGTGCCATCGTGTTGGCAAACAGCCGTGAAGGAGGGCAGCACCTGGTTCCCCTGTTGGAGCATTGGAGATGCCGTTAGTACAGGGAGACACTGCAGCTTCTTTCTGCCTCCCCACACGGATGGTAGGAAATACAAAGACGTCTCGAGCTCTCAGAGCTCAGTTCCCCGTGGGTGTGGCTCCTTCCTCCTTCTCCTCAGCCTGGAGTTACAGACGGGAGCACGAAGTCACACAGCAGAAGTCAGAGCACGGGCCACTCATTAGAGTCGACATTCCCTCTAGACTCTGGCCTATTCCCACTGAGGTCCAATTGAACCCCATAGTTTTTAAGTAATAAAAGACAAACAAAAACACAATTATAAGCCAGGTCGAATGCTCTCTGTACTGAAATCTAAGACTGTTCTGGAGCTGAGCCATGCGTCTCTAGGCCTGCATCACTTTACCTCTCCTAGACTGCAGTTTTCTTAAGGCCAAAGGCCTTTCCTAAAATCCTAGTGCCACCTGGCCCCTTTCAAAGGTGCTCGGATGTCACTGTAAGGTACGTGCTCCTCTGGTCAGACAGGTAACAGGGACAAGACCAGAAAAACGCATCCCCTGAAACAAAAAGTAATTGAACAATATGAATGAGCTTTATTAAGGTGAAAAAGTCATCCCCGAGAGTTAGCCCTGAGAAAGATCGCAAGAGAAAGTGTGGGAGAACTAGGATGTCTGAACGAAGTGGAACCGGGATGAGAAGTGGTGTGACTGCATTAGTTCTGTGACAGGAACGACAAATGCAGAGTGGAGGGAGGCGGTGGCGTAGGACAGTGACATGAGTGGAGTGTCCTCTCCAGCCCTCTGGACGCACGGGCCTCCCAGTTCTCGTGATGCAGCCGGGAGCTTCTTGGAGTAAAGAAGAACTCAGCGCGCTGACTTAGCGTGACACGGCATTCGCACGGAAGCCCGTGAAAGATGTGGGATCTGTGTGCTTACTTCCCACAACTAGAGCACTGCGGACAGTAACCTTTAAGCAATGTTTGTTGAATGAATTAACTGCCTTTTTTTGGAAGAGGTTTTTGCTATAGGGCATGTGCGCTCACCAGAAAGATAGAAAGAGACAGAGACACAGAAAGTAAGAAATCACCCCCCAGGGAGGATGGTCATTCCGCAATCCCTTCTCCTCCATTCTCTTCTCGGGATCTTGGGCATGCACGCACGCACACGGGCCCAGCGTGAGTTTAAGCCACCAGGTCTGGACTCGAACTGCTGTTGACTACATGGGAGCCCAGTGACATAGCCATTACGCTAACTGCTGGGCCCGGATTAACTGCTATTAAGGACTTGTCACAGGTCTCTTTTCTGCTTCTGATCAGCTCTTTCCAGTGGATCTATTAAACAAGTATGGATGTCCAGTCCAAGGCTCCTGGCCAGGGCTAACTCCAATTGTGTTTTTATTTTTGTTGTTGTTGCTTTTTAGCTGGCTATAGGGTGCATGTACTTTCTAGAGTGAGAGTTATCGGGAGAGTGTAGGGACCAGCAGGTGGCGGGATGGTTAAGGTGCTGGACACTCCCACATGGCCAACCACATGGTTCGAGTCCTGGACCTGGTGGCTTGCTTTCTCACTTTCCTCTCTCTCTCTCTCTCTCTGTGTGTCTCTCTCTGTGTCAAATTAAAATGAATGAATGAATGAATAAATAAATCTTTAAAAAAAAAACAAAGAAAAAGAAAAAGAATGAGAGTGTAAGGAATCACCCCCTGGAGGGGCAGGGGTGGCCACCTCGCAATCCCTCCTCGTCCATTCTCCTCTCGGGATTTTGGGCATGCACACACAGACACACTGGCTTGTCTTTCAAGCTCTCATATCCAGGACTCGAACCATGTGGGATCCAGCTGCCCCAACCTCCATGCCACCTGCCCTTCAATTGTATGTTTTTCAAAGATTGCATTGTAGTTTACGAGCTTTTGTGAGACAGGACAAAACCATCACTCTTCCTAAGTCTGCAAAGATTAGGACAGGCTGGTGGGCCTGGGGCGAGACCCCCGATGTGCATAAAGAGTCCTAGAGCAGAACACGGGAGCCCTGGGCACTTGTCCCTGCTGGTGAATCTTTTGATGATGTTGAATAAGTCACTTCATCTCCACTCTGCCTTTTCAGTTTCTAATTCTACAATGAGTTATTGAATTAGATCAGTAGTTCTGAAATTTGGCTGTACGTTAGAATCATTGGGGTAGCTTTAACTAATCCTGATGCTCAGGCTGCATTCCAGACCCACAGAATCAGTCTCTAGCGGGGGGACTCAGACATCAGTAATTTTATAATTCCCTAAGTGTTCCCAATTTCAGGAAAGTTTGAGAGCTGGTAGACCAGGTGACTCTTCTAGCTCCGACCTCTGTAACTCCAGGTGGGGTGAGCCTGGATAACTGGGTATTGCTGCTGAGAAGCTACCATCTGATATTCCCCCTGGGATACTGGGCGGGCCCTCTCCCCTCTGCCCTGGGCTCTTACCTCCATAAGCTGGTAGCCTGGCTTGCAAGTGGCAAGGAAGTAGTCGCGGAACTGGTACTGAGGCTGCAGGTTCGGGATGATGGTGAACTTGTCTAGGGTCTTGGGCTGGGGGCACTTGATGACTGTTGGGGACCAGAGGGTATGTGTATTTCAGAGCCATCCCTCCTTCCTTCTCCCCACCGGGTCACCACTGCTGGCCAGCAAGGGAAGCCCCCAGGTGACCTTACTTTCAGTGGTGTAGTGTAGTCTCCAGCCCCGGCTGTCCCCCGATTCATCCGTGAAGAACAGCAGGTCCACGGCATTGCTGCTGGTATCGAAGTCGGAGGGTCTTTGTTTCCCACAGAACTCGCCGATGTTCCTCCCGTTGGCATAGATCTGGTCGGGGAGAAGGCAAGGTTATGCCTCTAGTCTGGACATTTTTGCCCAGGGTCAACTGGCTGTTAGCCTGGTGGCCAGGGTGGTGGCAGCGCGGTGGAATCCTACTCTGTGTGGGTTCTCAGCTGAAGTTGTGTGGGGACTTTCCCAGCCCACACGCAACGCTGGTTGTTCTTGTCCCCGGGGGCAGGTGGATCCAAGAGGAAGCAGGGACCAGAGGAGCCTAGCAGGGAGAGGAAGAGCCGAGGCCTCTCGGGGTCGGAGGGCTGTACCTGGAGCTGGTCATAGGGGCAGTGCACTTGCTGGTGGTCATCAATTTCAAAAGGCTCCAGGAACTTGAGGTGGAGGGTGAGGCCGCGCTCCACCCGGATGCTGTAGTTGCAGCGCAGGTTGGGGGGGTAGGGCTGGGGGTACTCCAGGCTGGAGACGTAGCCGGACGGCTCTGTGTACAGCTCGCTGCTGCACTCGGCTGTGGGGCAGAGCTGGAGGGGCAGTGCACTTGCTGGTGGTCATCAATTTCAAAAGGCTCCAGGAACTTGAGGTGGAGGGTGAGGCCGCGCTCCACCCGGATGCTGTAGTTGCAGCGCAGGTTGGGGGGGTAGGGCTGGGGGTACTCCAGGCTGGAGACGTAGCCGGACGGCTCTGTGTACAGCTCGCTGCTGCACTCGGCTGTGGGGCAGAGCTGGAGGGTCACGGGGGGTGGGGGTTCTGACTGGCCCAGCAAGCCTCTGCCCAGCCCCTGCCTCCCTCCCGCACCCAGCCTGACTCACGCTGGCAGGAGTGCCCGTCCTTCTGAAGCTCATAGCCTGCACGGCAGGAACAGAAGTAGCCACCGATGTAGTTGTGACACAGGTGCTGGCACGGGGGCTGGGGGACCTCCTCAACCGAGTCGCTCCCGTGAGCGCATTCATCCAGGTCTGCAAGAGATTCAGGAAGGAGGGTCCCACAGTGACTCGGAGAGGTGGCTCACTGGAGGCCTAAAGACCACGTTTGCTGTGGTCATTGGGCCTCCAGGTTCTGTGATGCCCTGGGAGCTGCCCCAGGGCACAGAGCCCAGAGGGAAAGGCCCCTCCTGGGAAGACCTCTCTTCAGTGGGGGGCAAGGCAGGCTCAGCATTGGGCTTCTTTGGATTCAAGAGTCCCCTTTTCTTTTTTTTTTCTTTTTTTTTTTAGAATTACTTTGTTTTAACTTTATTTATTATTATTATTATTATTTTCCAGTTTGATCAGAGAGAGACAGAAAGAGAGAGAGGAAGTGAGAAAGCAAGCCACCAGGTCCAAGACTTGAACGGTGGTCGGCTATGCGGGAGTCCAGCGCCTTTAACCACCATGCCACTTGCCGGCCCCAAGAGTCCCCTTTTTTAGCCTCCATGCAATGTGGCCGGGCCACTCACCCACGGCGTGGTAGTAGGCCAGGAAGCCTTTGTAGAACATGATGGTCCCGTTCTCCTCATTGGAGAAGTCCGTGTGGAAGGTCAGCAGCATCTTGTTCCCTTGGGACAGAAATTCCTTCTTTCCTGGGGGGTTGCCCAGTGGAGCATCCAGCTGCCCACAGAACCTTCCCAGGCTTCTCTTATCGGCAGAGATCTGGGGTGGGGGGCAGGGGAGGAAGATCTGCTGAGGATCTGCATTCTGTGAGGCAGGCCAGTGGAAGTCCACCCCTCACCCCCACCCCAGAGCGAGTCATGGCCACAGCGGCTCTGGCCTTGGCAATGTTCCCAGGGCACTTGAGTCTCCTGTCGACCGACTGTGCACGTTACCCTGTGCTGGGCCCATCGCCCCTCCCCGCTTTGTCTGCCCCCAGTAGGTTTTGCATCTTCCTTCACTCCCGCCACCTCCCGTGGGATCTTTCCACGGCCTGGACCGGCCTGCTGCATTTCTTGTCTGCTCGTTCTACCTCGCCTTGTTCAGACCGCTCACAGCTGGCCGTGCCTCCTGACACTCGCGGGTGCAGGGGCCCACCAGCCTCAGCAGCGGCAAGCATCGCCCAGGGCCGTCTGTCTCTGTTCCTTGCAGACTCCTCCATCCCTCAAAGCAGCGTCTCTCCCTCCACTCCCCACTCTCCTGCCACCAGCTGCCTCCCCCTCACTGCAGACCGTGGGTCCTCCGGGAGGGAAGACTCGGAAGGACCATAGTCCACGCTTCTCTCATGGCCTCTGGGGGCTCCTGGGAGTGACAGCGCCTGGACACGTGTGATCTTTGCTTGAATCCTGAGGCTCATTTTATTGCAGAGACAGACGAGACCGGGAAGGTACCTGTGGCTGCTCCGGAGCACACCGGCCTCACGGAAGGCTAGGCCGAGCTGCTGGCATGCATGTCTCTCCTCACGTTCCTGTGCTCCTGCTGCGGCAGGCAACCATGGAGATAGTCTCCATGGAAACAGGGAAACTGAGGCACAGCGGTACCCAAAGACTGCCAGCTCGTCAGCAGGAGGGGAAGGTTGCGACTCTGCTGACAGTGCGTTTCCTGCGTGGGGCCTGTACTTCCACTTGGGTGCTTTCCCCTCAGTGCCTGCCATAGGCCTGTCTGACCAGCGGGGGCCCATCCGTGGCACTGCCTGCCCCTCTGGACTCCCCACAGCCACCAGCTCCTACAAGGCAGGGACTGTGTCCGGGGAGGGCCTGCTGTCCAGGGCGGCCAGAGCACCAGCCCTCAAGGTCCAGACTGACCCCGCATCACCTCCCCTCTGCCCTCCCAACTGACCCCCTACCTTGACATAGTCATAGAAACAGCCTTCAGAAGGCTCCAGGTCAAACTGCCAGAAGACGAGCTTCACTCTGTATCCCGTGGGGACTGTGATGACAGTGGTCGTCTCGAAGTTGTTGGGGTAAGGCTTGGGGTACAGAGGGGAGGTCACCTCCCCGAATAACTTCTGAGGGGTGTAGATGGAGCCTCCTGCCCTGCAGAACAGTACCGTCCCCAGGAGGTAGAAGAGCCACCTGCCAGAAGGAAAGAGGGTGTTGGCGGAGCTGAGGGGTGCAGCCCCTTGCTGTTGGGCAGTGGTCAGGTGGGGCACGGGGTGGCCATACCACTGGGCATCCTCCTCTCTGCCCATTCTGGACCTCGCAGATGTTCCCAGTGGGGGCGGGTGGGTGAGAGCCAGCCTCCGTGCCGCATCGGTGTCCCTCCCCGGGCCGAGTCCAGTCCAGAGGTCACCACGCTCCCATCACACTCCCTCCCCGGCCTCCTCCCCTCCCTCCCCAGCCCCCCACC